CTCAGCATTTCTCAAGCTGAAAGATATGAAGAAAGATTCAAGCCTTGCATTGAAATATTAAAGGATTTTATGGGCAAAAGAAGATGGAAGGAACACACAGAGTCACTGTACCAAAAAGAAATGGTCCATGCTCAAGAGGTAGCATATGACCCAAAACTAATGATACTGAAGGAAGAAGCCCAAGCTGCATTGAAGCAAAAAAGCAAAGCTCCAAGAATTGATGAAATACAAATTGAAATGTTTTACCAAACTGATGTGATGCCGGAGGCACTCACACATCTATGCCAAGAAATTTGGAAGACAGCTACCTGGTCAACCAATTGGAAGCGGTCCATATATGTACCCATTCCTAAGAAAAGTGATTGAATAGAATGTAAAAATCATTGAAAATTTTCATTAATATGACATGCAAGTAATATTTTGAAGATAATTCAACTACTGTTGCAACAGTACATCAACAGTGAGCTCCTGAAAATTCAATTTGGATTCAGAAGACATAGAATGAGGGGTATCATTGCTGATGTCAGATGGATTTTGACTAAAAGCAGAGAGTAGCAAAAAGATGTTTGTTGTAGTTGTTGTTGTTAAGTAATATCAAGTCCCTTCTGACTCATTGTCACCTTGTACAGGTTTCTGAGGTACAGCTAATGGGTTTGAACTGCTGACCTTGTGGTCTGCAGTCCAGTGCCTATCCTACAGCACCACACCAGGACTCCAGAATGAGGTTTGCTTGTGCTTTATTGCCTATGCAAAGACATTAACTGTGTGGATTATAACAAACTGGATAATATTGTGAAGTATGGGTATTCCAGAGCACTAAATTATGCTCATGAGAAACCTGAACTTAGACCAAGAGCTAAGCATTCTAATAGAACAAGGGGATACTGAATGGTTTGAAATCAGTAAAGGTGTGTGCCAGGGTTGTATCCTTTCACCATACTCATTTAATCTGTATGCTGAGCATATAATCAGAAAAGCTGGTTTTATGAAGAAGAACATGGATCCGGATTGGAGGAAGACTCATTAACAACTTGAAAAGTGCAGATAACACAACCCTACTGGCTGGAAGTCAAGAGGACTTAAAATACTTACTGATAAAGATCAAAGACTATATAGTCTTCAGTACGAATGCATCTCAATGTAAAGAAAAGTCCTCACACTGAACATTAAATAACATCATGGTAAGTGGAGAAAAGATTGAAGCTGTCAAACACCTCATTTTGCTTCAATCCACAATCAATGCACAATCATGGAAGCAGTGGTCAAGAAATCAAAGTAAGGAATGCATTAGGCAAATGCTGCAGAAGACAGCATTTTTACTTTTAAAGTGTTGAAAGCAAAGATGTCAATTTGAGGACTAAGATGTACATTGACTCAAGCCATGGTATTTTCACTGCCTCAAGTGCATGTGAAAGTTGGACAATGAATACAGTGAATAAAGAAGACTGTAGACGAATCAGAATCGATGCATTTGAAAACTAGGAAGACCTCCAACAAGATGGATTGACATAGTAGCAGCAACAATGGGCTCACATATAACAATGATTGTGAGGATGGTACAGGACCAGGCAGTGTTCCCTTTTGTTGTGCACGGGGTTGCTATGAGGTGGAACTGCCTCAGAGGCTCCTAACAGCAACGTCAGCATGAGAAACTTACATGCTTTTGTTCCAAGCACTTTATAAATCAGAAATGGATGTGTATGTTTTTGAGGGAACTTCAAAAAGTTCATGAAAACATGGAATTAAAAACAGTGGAATTTACATGGGAGTATAGGTGGAAGCCTGAACCACAACCAGATCTTCAGAGACGGGAAATTTCTCCACTTGAAAGGACAAGCAGACCAGCCGGGAGCAGCTAGAAAACCAGAAGATACCTCTTGAAAGAAGGACCTACAGGAAAAATACAAAACAATAAGGGCAGTCCGACTGCTACCACAAGAACATACAGGTGGCTTGCCCAGGAGACATCAAGGCAAGTGGTCGGATCCTCTCAGTGCAAATTCTCTTCCAAGATTAAGATGCAAGGGAAATATACGCTTTGATCGACAACCACACACGTCACCCAGAAGGAGAAGTAACCGAAGAACATCAATGAAGGGGCGAGCTAAGCCCTACATCGTTCAGCAAACTACTGTGAACCCGGGTGGAGACCTGGTCGGCCACTAGCGAGGCAACATCTGGGGACTCATGGGCTCAGAGTCAGTGACACAGCCACAGAGGTCTAGAGTGGAGAGCGGGGTGGCCAGCCGATAAAAAGAGGCCGGACAGACGTAAGAACACCCACACTTGCAGATGATACCCATTTGACCGGACTTCAATAACTGGATAAACAGATCTCAACCCGAAGAAGAAAGAAGAGGATAAAAAAAAGCATCTGGTACAATTCAATAAACAGGACCTACACCTATGAATGCAGTAGCTCAAAAAAGGAAACAAACCCCTGCTACAAGAATTATTCCCACCCCCTTCACACAAAGGGTAGACAGGGATGGGCAACTTGGACATTGGCTACCCAAAATGGGGGGAGGGATACAAAGGCAAGAAGTGACTGGCTTATAAGCTTTCAAGAGGGAACCTAGATCCAAAGGGCGTGGAGGAAGGTAGAGTCTCCAGTGAATGGTGTCCAGCCTGTCCAGGTAGGGCTGATGAAATGAAATATAGATGGGTCTCTTGTGATGCAATGGTGAATAATTGTTATCAGGACTGATTGTGAGGGCTGGAAATCTAAAGGTGGACATGTTGTGGCAAAGAGGGGAGTGATTGACTTATCAGTCTAGGAGCGGAGGAACCTGGGACCATCGATGGAGAAGAGCGAAGAGCGGAATCCTACCCAGAGAGGCGGTGAGGCCTGAGATGGAGGCAGAGAAGATGACGTCAAGAGATGGTGGGGCTGGGGACTCGGGATCAGGAGATGGAAAAGGACTGAAGACTGTGGTGGGGGGTGGGTGCAGGCTTACAGGGTACACCCCTTGGTTGGGTGAGGAAGCATGGACAGGATGGTAACTATGCCAGTGAAATGATGGATGATGGAATGAGTGTATAACTGATGTTCTCCCATGTAGACTATCACACAATTCACAATAAAACGTTAAAAACAAAACAAAAACAATGGAATTTATCCCCTTTGTATACAGGGTAGATAGGGATGGGCAACTTAGACATTGTCTACTGAAAAAAAAAAGGGGGGGGGGTAAAGGCTCAAAGTGACTAGCTTACAAAATTTCAAAAGGGAGTTTAGTTTAAGAGTGTGTGGGAAGATAGAGTGCCTGCTGAATAGTTTTCATCTTGTCTAGATGGGTCTGGTGAAAAGAGATGGGGATAAGACTCTTATGATTCAGTAGTGAGTAATTGTTATCATGACTAATTTCGACTGTCACAATTCTAAAGGTAGAACTTTTGTAACAAAATTGTGAGAGTAATCTTACAGTCCAGAAACAAAGGACCTTAGGACCATCAAGGGAGAAGAGCACAAGCAGAATGCCAGACCTTATCCAGAGAAGCAGAGACACCAGAGATGGAGGCAGAGATGGGGACATGGAGAGAGGGAGCAGTTGAGGAACCTAGATTCATAGGAAGAGAGGGGCTAAGAACTGGTGGCCAGGAGGCTGATCTGGCTGTGCCCTTTGTGGTGTAAATTGTTAAATATGCGTGAGTGTTAAAAACAAAAAAAGAGCTAAAATGAATAAAGAGAAATACTGTTAACTGATAATACATGGAGGGGATTATAACCATTGTAATGAAACAAAGTATATATGATTTGTTGAGTGTAAAACTGATGATGAACTTTTAATCAATTCACAATAAAAACTTAAAATAATAAATAAAAATAATGGAATTTTTCCACAGAATTTTTGAAGACCCCTCATATGTCTGGGGAAGGATAAATACAAGGGGGATTTTCAAAGTTCATGGGAAAACCCCATTATGTTTTAATTCCTTTTTTCTATGAATTTTTGGAAGCTTCCACATATAAACAAATAACTCACACTGTAAGAATTGTTCTAGCATAGATATGTACTTTGAGATTATGACGTAGTGGGCAACGGATAGTGATTTGAGGTCAGTAGTTGGATAAGAATACAAAGAGAAGGTGACATATTTTGTGGATCCCCAATGGAATCTATGAATGTGACATCTTAATTTCTGAAATAGATTAAATATAGACTCCAACCGACCTATCCTAAAACAACTGGACCCATGTCTATATAATTAACTGAAATTATGCCCTGTGACAAATTGAGTTGTCTATAAAATGAATGGCTTTATTGGTAAACATGTATATTACAGACACACTTGGTTGTAATTCCAGCAAATTCAATTAGCTCAGTGGCGTATATATAAATAGTCAGGAATACACATGCATACATAAAATAATAACAGAGACTAGGTATGTAAGTAGTACTCCCAGTGTGGTGCTGTAGGATAACCACTGGACTGCGGTTCAAACCCACCAAGGTCCTTGGAAACCCTCTACTGGGTTGCTATGAGTTGTAACCAACTCAAAAGCCCTTAACAACAGCAACAGGTATATAAGTAATCAATTTTTAAAACCATAATAATCTCATGAGAAATTATAATTCCATGAGAAATCATCACATAATTATGATTCATCATCATTCTACATCTTTGTGACTATATTTAATAGCCTAATTAGCAATAAAATTGTATGAGTTAACATTACTATGAGAACATCCCTGTGCTTTATCTGTAGATGTGTATGTAGCATAACCATGATCATCCTGATGTGTTTATTACACATTTTGTTCCATCAACCCAAGTGAGTGTGTATTTTTAAGAAAGATTACTTACCAGCATCCAGTTTGGATTTTAAAAGTTTGAATTCATATACCTTCAGAAAATGTATGATATTTGAGATAAAGAAAGAAAAGTACTTAGTGGTATCTTAATTCTCTGTCATATGTGATTATTTAGTTCGAAATATTCCCCTAAATGACAAAGTAAAAAAAAATATAGTAATATTCCTTTCTGGATGTTTTCAGAACTCCTAGTTATAACTATGCACCAAATATGGATAAACACTGGATTATGCAGTATACCGGACCCATGCTGCCCATCCATATGGAATTTACAAACGTTCTACAGCGCAAAAGACTCCAAACTCTGATGTCAGTGGACGATTCTGTGGAAAGGGTAAGCACATGCATTCTTGATGGGTTTTGGTCCAGCTTTTCTTTGTATGGACCTCTTCTTGTCTATCTTGCTTGCTTCTTTCTTTCACTTTATTGCATTTAGCATAAGGGAATGTGTGTGTGTGTTCTGTTAGCAACTTAATCATCCTGCCCTTATATTTTCCCCATTTTTTTCAGGCTTGGTTCTAATGGAACCAATGGCGAAAGAGAGAAAAATCAAAACATTGTAAGTTAGGTTATCAGGGAATGGTGGTGATTGCTAAGAGCTTGAAATTGAGTGCCCTTTCCAGGGTGGTGTAAATGTTCACACGCTTGGCTGCTAACTGAAAGGTTGGTGGGTTAAGTCCGTCCAGAGGCATCATAAAAGAAAGGCCTGTCTTCTAGGACATGCACAGAGTCACCATGAGTCAGAATTGACTAAAAGACAATTGATGGGGTTTTCTGAATTGGAAATTAAAGAGATGAGCATCAACTACTGAGTGCATGCTAATTCTTGCCTATGTAGAAATGTGTGCAGTATTGTTGGATTTTCTAATTTAAAAAAATTCAAAAATACTTATTTCTGTATGAAATTTCCTCAATTTTAATACCTAACACAAAGAAAACATGCCTGAATGCTAGCTCTAGCTGGATCAATTTCATAGAGAGCCTGTTTTTCAACCTTGGAAAAGTAAATACAAACAAGGGTGATATTAAAAATTTGTTTTAACCTTGAATTTCGAATTGAAACTTGGTAGCTGAGGTTGTTTTATGGTTTTTAGTTTTGTGGTTGTTTTTCACCAAACAGATAAGCAAAACCTGTAAGTAGAATGTTTCCAATTAAAAAAAAAAAAAAAGTTTGTTTCAATTGTATTATTGGACTTTTTCTCTCCAGGATTATAAATAGCTAGAAATCGCAGATAATCTTCGTGTGTGTCAGTCTTACTAAAGCAACTCTTGCCTTTTAAAAATAATGGGGAGAAAGATTTGAGGGAAATCCTGGCAGCACTATTGAATGCCATCTTATGTCATCACAATTGATTCTGACTTGCCTCTGTGCTGCCTTTCAGCTGTATAATATGCTTGTGGAGACAGGGGAGCTGGAGAACACTTACATAATTTACACTGCCGACCACGGTTACCATATTGGACAGTTTGGACTGGTCAAAGGGAAATCCATGCCATACGACTTTGATATCCGTGTGCCTTTCTTTATTCGTGGTCCAAGTGTGGAACCGGGATCAATGTACGTATTTCTCCATTTGCAAGATTCCACTGTTGGAGTTCGTGTATGACTAAAATAATTTGCTTACCAATCCCAGTATTCGGTTTCCTTTTATCCAAAACAAAAAAAGGTATATGTAGATTTGGTCATTTAGTAGATGAAAACCTTCCCCTGCCTACCCGCCTCCCCATCACCACCACCATATGTTAAATTAAGAAAGTATACTATTTAAAGGGAAAGGAAAACAAAATACATCAATGATGATGTCTCTCAAATTGACCACAGTCCGTAACTTTTTGGTCTTTGTACAAAGATGTAGAATGTGATTCTTAGAAACACAACCCTTAACTTCTTAGCATCAGAGCTTTCCCGTTGTTTTTTTTTAAAACAACTAATGCCATCCTCTTCATCTTTTATTTTGTAAGCTATTACAAAACAAAATGAAAGGGCACCATGATTTTCTTTCTCATTTTTTTTTTTTTTGAATTATTGTGGTAAAAACATTTTTTGTTGTTGTTGAACATTTTCCAACTCAACTATTTTTGCATGTATATTTCAGAGAGCATGATTTTCTTTTAGAAGAGAGAAGGCCTAAATGACTGAAGTTGTGGATCTGTCGCTCAGCCTTTCACCTTAGACACGTCATTGAATCTTTCTGCATCTGTTTTCCCCTTAAAATATATTTTTTTAAATACCCTGATAATCACACCAGAATATGTTGTATAAAATAAGATCATGTACATGAAAGGGTTATGAAAAGATTGGAAGTAGACTTTAAAACCTGAAATGACCCTTAAAAAACATTGAACCTGTACGTATGATTTAACCATGAAAAAGATTGCTAGAGAGTTAAGTCCCTGTCTCAGGGACATTTATCCTGCAAGTGGTACTTTAGGGGCCCAAAGCTTAAATATTCTGAATCTCATCCATAAGCCTCATCTGCTGCTCAGTCACACTGCATCCTAGGGAAAGAGTGATGGAAGTAAAAGGTTTTCTTTTAAGAAATGTTATCATGGCTCTTAAGATCATTAGAAATACCCTGGGAATTGTCTGATCTATATTTAGAAGGCTTTATGTTTGAAGGACTAGGCAACATGGGTTGAGTTCAGTGATAAAAACCTTGTGTCCTTATTTTAGAATATTGATTTTCAAGCCTTAGTTCTACAGAACCTTGGACTGCAAGGTTTTGGAATAAAAATGTATATCCCACACATACAAAAAAAAAAAAAAAGATTAGACCATGTCTAGTCTGGTAGTGCAGCCAGAGTGTGGGAATAATGGGCCATACCCTCCAATCTGACTAGCATAGAGTCCATCAATCTTGTTGTGTGTTCTTGCTGTCCGCCAAACACCAATCCTGAAAAAATGCAGCCACCCATCCCTGGAAAGCCCAGAGAAGAGAGTGTAAAGAGTTGAAGACAAACGAGTCACTGTTGTAGAAAAGGCAACCTTAACTACCATCCTCCACTTGTGTTGGGTCTAGGGTGTAACCATCTGTTCCTTTACAGAGTCCCACAGATTGTTCTGAACATTGACCTGGCCCCTACTATTCTGGATATTGCTGGGCTTGACACACCTCATGACGTGGATGGCAAGTCTGTCCTCAAACTCCTGGACTTGGAAAAGCCAGGTAACAGGTGCGTCAAGATTCTTCCCTCAGCTAGATGCCAGCCAGCAGCTGAGAACAGTGGGGCAAAATGAGCTTTGTCCATAAGGATCACCCCAGGTGGGAATTTCTAGGCTTCTTGTGAGTAGCACCATGATGAAGATGCAGTGCTGGTCCACAAGAAATGAACGGTGTTTCTTCAAAACAACTGTTAGCACAGGTGCTTTTGGAAAGCTGTGCAAATGCCAACCGTAAATATTGTTGTTTTCTTTTAGGTTTCGAACAAACAAGAAGGCCAAAATTTGGCGTGATACATTCCTAGTGGAAAGAGGGTAATTATTGGTTCCTGGGGTACTTGTGGGAACTAGTTCTAGTGAGCACCTCTTCCTGCTTGGGTGTCTTTCCCCCCTCACCCCATTTTGTTTTACTATGCATGCAGATTTTGTAAGCCTAATCGCAAGATTGAATGCTTTTCTTACTTATTGTTTTCTGGCCAGCAAACTAATTATTGTTGCATGACAATTGTAGAGAATAAATCAGAATATTGGGCCAAAGACTTTACATGGATATAGATTTGCTGTTGCATTTCTCAGCCTTGGTTCCTAATGTTGTTGTTGTTGTTGCTAAGTTCTGTCAAATCAGTTCTGACTCATAGCTACCCTGTATAGGGTTTCAAGGAACGATTGGTTTGAATCCCCAACCATGCGGTTAACGGTCCAGTGCTTATCCCTAGCATCACACCAGGACCCCAAATGTTGTTAAGTGCCATCAAGTCTGTTCTGATTTATAGTGACCTTGTGTAGCGTCTCTGAGAGTTGCTGGTGGGTTTAAACTGCCAAACTTGTGGTTAGCAGTTCTTTGCTTATCCTACAGCACTACACCAAGAATCCTAGTTCCTAATAGAACCATTTTTTGACATCCTCAGGCATCCTTCTCTAGTTTCTTAGGAGCTTTGCCTTATGCCCTAGTTCCTACTTCTTTTTCTTATTTCACGCTCATGGCTTTAAATTATATGTGATTATAATTGGAGTCCTGGTGTGAAACTTGAGGATAAGCGCTGGACCAATAGGTTGGTTTAAACCACAAAGTCAGTAGTTCAAATTCACTAACCACTCCTCGGAAACCCTGTACAGGGTCGCTATGAGTCAGCAGCAACCTGATGGCACTTTAACAACAACAATAATTATTGTTTAGCCACTTCTGGGTTCCCCTTTTGATTCATAATGCTCATTGACATCTTCTTTTGGTACTTACATTGAGAGAGCAAGAAAAGCATTTATAATAATTTGGTATTTTAAAAGGACTTTATTTCTGAGCCTATAAAACGAAACACTTATGCCCCCAAATTTGAAATTAATGCTTGGTGGGGGAAATGGTTCTTCCTTTCTTGATCTCTCATCTTGATAAAACCCTGCCTATAATTTCCATATGGACTCATGAGACGTGGGACTCCTTTGGGCAGAGTTTTCTTTTTGGTCATTTGATGACTGTGGAGTCCTGTGGCAGGAAAGAAAAGGTGAACAGGCAGGAAAGGCAACTTAGATCAATTCTCAAGTAAGATGCTTTTTGCTTTCTGTCAAAGCAAATTTCTCCGTAAGAAAGAAGAATCCAGCAAGAATATCCAACAGTCAAACCACTTGCCTAAATATGAGCGGGTCAAAGAGCTCTGCCAACAGGCAAGGTACCAGACTGCCTGTGAGCAACCGGGACAGGTGAGTGGCACAGTTCTTCTTCACCTCTATGCATATGTATCTCCGTTTCTAATTTATATGGTTTCCAACATATAAATCGGTGTATATTGTATGTAAGCAGGATTCACAGTGGTCATGAGGGCAAGCTCACTGTGACACCTATCGGCTTGGCAGGGTTTGTCTAACTGATGCAAGGTGGGCCTCCTCATCGCTGCTTGGGTTCCCTCCAGTTAATAGAGATGATGCTCTCAGAGATTGGTCCCATTTGAAGAAACAGTATCATCTCTAGGTGTCCTATTACCTAATCATCAAATAATAGTTGAAAGCCTGCTTAGTCAAAACCATGGATAGATGCTGAGACTTAGGCAATGAACCATCCCAAGAGTGATGATTGGGTCATCCCCACCTTAGGCAGAAGCCAGATGTCATCTAACTCAGCATGGTAGTTAGAACTTATAACCAAAGTTGAGAAATGAAAGTGGAAACCATATTTTGCTTATTCCTTGCTTCTACCTGTAGTCACAATGTTTCTGACATCTAATGTTTCATTAGTACCAACCCTCTGCATTAATAGAAATAAGACTATAAAGCCCAGGGCTACCTAGAACACCAACTATTATCTAAAGAAATGTCATATGATGAACCCACATGGACCTGCTTCTAAGGAATTAAGTATTGAGCACAAACTCATTTATGAATACATACCATCTTAAACACGCTTGGCTGAGATATGTTGTTATTGTTGTCAGGTGCCATCGAGTCGGAACTGACTCATAGCAACCCCCATGCACAGCAGAACGAAACAATGTCCGATCCTAGGCCAACCTTACTACCGCTACCACACTTGAGTCCATCAATGATGCCACCTGGCCAATCCATCTCGTTAGGGGTCTTCCTCGTTAAGGGGCTGAGATATATATTAGCTAAAAAGAAAGACTATGTCATGGTGAAAAAATGGAATTTCTGTCTGAGTCGTTGAAAATTAGAGCAAAATTGAAGGAAAGTGACAAGAGCTAACAGTTTTTGACCATTTGCCTTTTTTTTTTTAAGTTTTTCTTGTGAATTGACTGATAGGTTACGGGGGAGAAAACATTGGTTTTACACTCATCGTTTCATTGTAATGATTACAATCCCCCCTGTGCATCATCATTCAACAGTATTTGCTTCTATCCCCTCTGTGATTTTTGTTTTTAATATACGCAAAAACACTCAGTAATATATAATCATTTAAACAACCAAAGGGCACATTCTGCAAGCCTGCCTTCTAGCTGCCAACACCCAGCCTTTCTCTTTCTATGAGTCTGAAGTCTTCAGCTTGAGCATTTGTCTTATATACGACATTATACATGGGATTTTATACATATTATCTCAATTTAATCATCCAAGGTATTTAGTTACGGAGGCATCATCATCCCCATTTTGCAAAAGAGAAGTTGCTAAGTGGCAGAGCTGGAATCAAACCAAGAATTTGATTCAGAAACTCAAGAAATGTGCTGTCTGCCAAGTCTGTGGTTGTGTGTTGCCATTGTGTCATGGCAATCCCATGCACAATGGAACAGAATGCTGCCTGGTCCTATTCTATCCGCATGACTGGTTGTGAACGGGACCATTGTGATCCAGAGGGTTTTTCTGGGCTGGGATTTGGAAGTCAGTTGCCAGGCCTTTCTTCCTATAGTCCGTCTTAGTCTGGAACTCCTGAAACCTGCTCAGCATCATCACAGCACACACGTCTCCACTAACAGGCAAGGGGTGGTTCCACGTTAGGTTCTCTGGTCAGAAATCAAACCCAGGTACCACTGCCCCATGGCCTTCCAAAACAGGCTGCATTAACTAGATCAAGAAAAGTTCATATCTTTTGTGAGTCTTTGAAAATGTATCTGGCTTCTAGATAGTCACACAATTAGCCAACAGTTCAAGATACCAGATATATGGAATGGGCAGCATGGTTAAAAAGATTCATTATATACCTGTTATGGACATTCATAATAAACATGATTTTTATCTTTGTATTTCCTCAGGCCTTGTGTACACAGGGTTATTTTTTAAATCGAAGAGGGTGGGGATAGAGGGCTATTGAAAGAAGGGATAAAACCAGGTCTTTATGGCATCCTACTAAGTCTTAATTTTCAAGTGTTTTCAAGTTTAGTGGAAAAGCTTAGACCTATTCATTATATTTTAATTTGAAACCTTCAAATCCTGCTTATGAAAGCTCTAAGTATGATTATGAATAAAACCTAAGAATTGTTTTGTAGCTCTGAAATGATTTTTATGAGCCTGCTTCAATAGGCTAATGTACGTCTTATTCAGGAGTTGGAAATGTTCAGTGTTAAATATATCTCATGCAAATTGGTGATCTTGTTCCCATTAAGCCCTCTAAGCGGTGAGCATTACAACCCTTTGGGAATAAGGTGCACCGCCTACCCTTCAGTATACGATTTTGCAAACCTTTCCATCTGGCTTGGGCTGAAATTTTAATGTATATCCTGAAGGGCAAATGTAGCATAAACCAGATTATGGCATTCTGGCACAAACTCTTTGCTTATGTGCTGAGTGCTAACCATGTTAAAAACTTCACTTTGCTTTTTCATATATATTTTTTTAAATTTGTTTTGCCCCTATGACATGCTTTAGTATGTTGCTCCCTGTAATTTTGCTCTGCTGTTTTCCTTCTACATGAATCAATCTGAATTTAGATCCTATCATCTGGATGTCTGCGAACATTGACACTCTTTTAGGAAAGCCTCAATTAGAAAAACAGAGAATGTGATTATGGTGCTGAGGGTGGTTTCTTGCTATAGGATTTCTTTACATTGGGGAGAAATGAGTTCTAGGAGAACAAAAGGTTTCCTGAAGAGATGAAATACCTAGAGAGGTTCAGGTTGCTTCTTTTTTGTTGTTGTTGTTCGTTGCCGCTGAGTTGATTTTAACTTGGGATATTATTGATCAGAATTGTTCCACAAGGTTTTCTTGGCTGTTATCTTTATCGAAGCAGATCACCAGACCTTTGCTACTACAGTACCACTGGGTGGGTTCGAACCACTGGCTCCACTTTGGGTCAGAAGTCAAGTACAAAGTGTACCACCTAAGGATCTTACCTTAAGTTTAGGCAACCCCACTGCATGAGTGAAATGTTATTCTCAGCATATGGAGCAGCGATATCAGCATCACCTGGGACCTTGCTACCCCAGACCTACTGAATTAGAACCTCTGGGTTAGGGCCACCATTCTGTGCTGATCAAGTCCTCCAGGTGAGAAACAATTGTAACCTATGATTGGGCTTGTAAAAAAAAATAAATGAAAGTTGCTGTGGAGTTGATTGTGACTCCCGGTAGCCTCCTGTGTTGTAGAGGAGAACTGAGTTCCGTAGGGAAAGGATTTTCTTGATTCTTACAGAAACGCACCGCAAGGCTCTTCTTCTGCAGTGCCTCTGTGTGGGTTTGAACTGCCAGCCTTTTTATTAGTAACCTAGTGCTTAGCCTTTTCCCCCATCCAGGGACTCCTATGGCTGTGCTTACAGGAACTCAAACCATAACCTATGAAGCTAAGACATTCAAGGACAGTTTGAGGTGCTCCAGGGCCATTATCAAATCTCTCTGGGTCAAACCTGATAGTTCTGTTTCATAGACTGTTTTTACTTTTGGCTCTTTGATCTTTCTATTGGACTACTTTGAAGATTTACCTTCTTGGTTGTAATATTACTGATTTTAAATATATATATGAGGAAGAAAAAAGTCTAGAATAATGCGATTGCATTATCCAAGATCAAAGTGACAAAGTCAGAACTGATTTTCTTGACCCCTGTTCTCACACTTGGTCTGTATCCTGCTTCTCTTCTTACCAACTTCACTCCCTTTAAAGACAACACAGCCATCTCTCTTTGGTTTGACTCTTCATATCATGTAGAGAGAAAACATAGGCTCTGTCAGTCCTGTTCCCTTCATTCCCAATCCCCTAACATATAGTGGGTCCTCTTTCCCACGCCTTGTCACCTAAGAATTGTTTGTTAGAATCAATGTAGATGAATGAAGTCAACAAAAAGAAAAGAAATGTGTTTCTTTTCTAACAAAACCATAGGTTTGGTTAGAACATGAGCATCCATCCATCACTTGACAGTTGTGTGTTCGTAGACAAGTCCCTTCGTTTCTCCTGAGATTCAAGTTTTCTATCTCTAAAATAGAGAAAATTTGTTTCAGTCTCTTGAGGAATCAATATATATAACATATGTAAAGTACAAGGTAAACGGTGTACTTTACATACATAAAGTACAAAGCATGGTGCCAATGTTGACTATTATTATTGTTCCTTGCCATCTTTGCCATCTTACCTGTTGTTTTCTTTTCTGTACTGCCAACAAGGAATTAAAATGGGTGAGAATCCCAGACATTTGGTATCACTTTTCAACTATGTGAATAGAACCACAAGCAGAGACTAATTAAGACACAGACATATGTGTTCGCATTACTTACACAGTCCTGAGTCAGTATGAGGCTGAGTGTGAAATCCAGTCACTGTCACAGTGGCCACTATACCCCCAAGAACATTTATGTACTCACACACACACGTACACAAAAACCCTCAGGTTCTATCGTTAAAGACTTTTGTTCAACAGATAGCATAGGTCAGTGATGCTCAATTATACCCATTAGAATTAGCCAGGGAGTCTTAAAAATACTGATCAGCAGCCTCACTCTAGACTAATTAAATCACAGCATCTATGAAGCTAAGGTGTCCATATTTTTAAATAGTATCAAGAACCATAAACTTAGAATTCATAAATATCATAGTTGGAAGGGAATTTAGAAGTCTTCTGGTTCAGTGATAATTTGTTGTTGTTAAGTGCCTTTAAGCTGATTCAAACTCATAGCGACCCTGTACAGGGTTTCCAAGACTTTTTAAATCTCTGTGAGAGCAGAAAGCCTCATCATTCTCTTATGGAACTGCTGGTGGCCTAGAACTGTGCACCTTGTTGTTCGCAGTCCAGTGCATATCGTCTGGAGCCACCACCGCTCTCACAATTTTAC